ACACACACACACACACACACACACACACACACACACACACACACACACACCAGTATGGTGACTGACAGACAGATGGTGAAGCACCTTAGATACTTAGCATTCATCACACTGGTCCCCACGCTTCCAGCGCGGTCCTCCCTGGGAAGGAATCCTCCTTTCCTCTCACTATTTGCAGTATGGGGCTGTTTACTTTTTGAGTGGATGCAGCTTCCCCTCCCCCACATCACTGCCATTGGCTGCCCTGTTGCTAAGGTTTGGATAAGAATTTCTCAAATGTCAGAGGCTTGTAGTCTCCAGCCCATGGAACTTCCTGTAGGGTGGCAGAACGTTTAAGAGGTAGAGCACTTTCACAGAGGGACTGACTTTGCACCTTGCAGGCGGGTCGTTCGGTCATTGGGGTGTACACAGGAAGGGAACAGTAAGCCACCCCCATTCCCTTCTTTGGCTTCTTGGCCATGAGAGATGCTCTCTTGCTACATCATGGTGACAGCATATCACCGATCGAAAGAATATCCCTGGCTTCTAAAACTACGGGCCCAGACCACCTTCTCCTCATGGGTCGCCGTGGTCTCCAGAGTGTGTTACGGGTGATGGAAATCTGATAAACGCACTGTGTATTCATGGCCTCGGTGCATTGTGTATTCATGGCCTCGGCGCACCGTTGCTTTCCTTGCTGTTTTTGAGACAGGCTAGCATCTGTTAGCCCCTGGAACTCCCTATGTAGACCAGGCCCACCTCAGAATCACAGAGATCTACCTGCCTCTGCTTCCCTGGCGCTGGGATCAAAGGCACGCACCACCACCACACCAAGCCGGCATCATATGAGCATTCCCTAGTGGGGAATCATGTTTCCTAGAGATGTTCACTCTTGCGAGCGGCTCTACGCATTTCTGTGCAGGGACCTCTGCTGATTTCCTCATCTCATCTCCCGCAGGTTGTGCAAGAATGTTTTCGACCGTGATTACAAGGCCACCATCGGCGTAGACTTTGAAATCGAGCGCTTTGAGATCGCAGGGGTTCCCTACAGCCTCCAGATGTAAGTCTCCGCTATGGTGGTTTGGAGAGCTCCCCATTAGGGAAAGCTCTCAGCTGGATCTCTTCCCTCTGTGCCCCGTGAGTGCTCAGCAAGGATATGTCTGGTCAAGCCCGGTTCTGCGTGGTTATAAGAAGCTAGGCTTCATGGTCTATGGGTCCCTAGATTCTCTTTGCGTCCTCACAGTTGCTTGGTGTTGGTCATGAGATCTGGGAATGATCTTCTCCATTCTCCACCCCAAAAGCATCTTCCTGAGGTTCAGCCTTCCTCCCCAGCTGGACCACCTGTGATCCCACAAGCAGCAGACTGGTGCAAGCCTCTGACAGTTTTTGGTTGGTTATTTCTTTTTCCTGAGCTCTGAGCCTCTATTTTCCCCTATAAAATAGGGCAAAGTCAGTCCCTATGAACCAGCGTTGGGTGAATAGGGCTCTGCTGGAGGCCTAACCCTGCCCTTGTCCAGCTCTCCGTCCCCCTACAACTTCCCTCTGTATATGTGTCCATCTGTCCATCTCATCCTTCCCCCCCTTAGTCTGCCTTCTCTAATAACCTCGTGCCTTTGGCTGTCTCTCAATGGTGCACTACTTTCTGCCCCACATCCCGCCCCGTTCACACTCCCTCAGTCAGTGCAAGACCTTCCCAGGGTTCACCTTTTACCTTGGTGAAAGTGCTCTATGCTTTACACCTCATTCTCCCCATTCCCCAGAGGATCTTGCTGTCCTACCCAGCTCCCAGACCCCTGTGCTCTCAGGTGAGGCCCCTCCCTCCTCCCTGCAGTTTTTTTTTTTTTTTCTTTTTTCGAGACAGGATTTCTCTGTGTAGCTCTGGCTGTCCTGGAACTCACTCTGTAGACCAGGCTGGCCTCGAACTCAGAAATCCGCCTGCCTCTGCCTCCCAAGTGCTGGGATTAAAGGCATGCGCCACCACCGCCCAGCCTCCCTGCAGTCTTATTTGGCAATCTCTGTGCTCTTCTTGCCTACGGTGGTGTTCACCAAGCCTTTCTCTTAGTCCCCTTCCCTGCCTTACAATCTGGCTTTGGTCTTTATTCCTCTGTGTCCTGCCTAGGCTGAGTCCACAGCTCCTGTGTCCGTTCCCATCTCCACAGAGACAGTGACCTAGTGTAGCCCTGGGGCCAGAGGATAACACATCCTGTCCAGGGGTGAGCACAGAGTCAGTTCAGAGTAAAAGATGCTATGAAAACCCAGGGCTTCGTGACTGAGACTTCTGAGAAGCTGAAAGGAGCGAAGGTCTGGTCCAGAGGGAGCAGCCAGATGGAGCTATACAGAGCAACCGGGCTTCTACTGTGTCCAGGCAGTATCTATATAAAATGGGCACTGCCTTGCCCCAGACTCGTAGGCTCTTATAAGGCCATTGCCAGCCAACCATCTTGGCTTACTTGTGCCCACTCACCACTCCCCATCGAGTGGCTTCTTCAGACATTGGGGAAAAAGGAATGAATTGATGAAAGAGTAAGCCCAGAAGCCTTCACTGTGCTGAATTTCAGAGAAATAGACTCAGATCACAGACATCCTATCTTTGGGTTATCTTTCTAGTTCACTGAGAAAAACAAAATGTTCATCTGTTGACTTTTTTTTTAAAGATTTATTTATTTACTTGATGTATATAAGTAGGTGTCTTCAGAGACACCAGAAGAGGGCAGCAGATTTGATGGACAAGTATCTGCACATACACCTGCGTGCCAGAAGAGGGCATCGGATCCCATTACAGATGGTTGTGAGCCACCATGTGGTTGCTGGGAATTGAACTCAGGACCTCTAGAAGAGCAGTCAGTGCTCCTAACCACTGAGACATCTCTCCAGCCCATCTGTTGACTTTAAAAGGTGACCATTTGTAGACTGGGTCTCAGGGACCTCCCTACAGATTGACAACCCATCGTAAGCCCATCCAGGCAGTTCCCGGCTGTCACCTCCCCTCTTCCATCTTATGCTATGGCAGACACGATCAATCTGTTACTCCATTCCTTTCCCAGGGATCCACGGCTCAGCCTCTATTCCCTTCTCAACAAATTGTTTCAGAAAGCCAGAGCTAACTAGTCTGTTGGCCAAGGGATGTGGCCTGTGTGTCCCTGTTAGCCCCGTTCCCCACCCCAGTCGCAAGTACGCTGAGGGCCTGTCCTGGAACCCCAGCATTGTCCTGCTATAGAACATACGGTCCTTATAATGTCACAGTCAGGAAGGACTGAGCTACAAGAAAGCAATTTGCAACGTTACACCTTCTCCCCTACTGGCGCTGCAATCCGATCAGAGGAAAGGACCTAGGAGGGTTTGGCGGGAGCTGGAGGCGGGGACAACTGGGACAACCAGGCACTTGCTGTTGTTCACCTGTGGCTGGCATGTTGGTGTAGGTCCTGAGGCCTTCCCGTGGTCTCACTGTTGCCATTGCCTTAGAACACAGTGACTGCCTAACCCGCCCCCACTGTCTTCCTGTCTCCCCCTATTCCCCTCGCAGCTGGGACACAGCCGGGCAGGAGAAGTTCAAGTGTATCGCATCTGCCTACTACCGCGGTGCCCAGGGTGAGCAGCGAATGACGCCGGAGATCTCAACCTATGTCACCTGCACAAACCCTACTCCTCTGTCCTCCAGGAGTCACTTGGAGAGCCCTGCAGCCAGCACTTAGCAATGAAGAAGCCACCCAGGACTCTAGAACCTGGCTGTCTTAAGAAAGTTGCGCCCTTAGGGAGTATCTGAAGTGTTAGGCGCAGGCTGCCGTAGGCCCCAGTTTACAGCTCAGAAAAGAGCATTCTTGTTTAAGGGTCCCAGAAAAAGACAGATGACTTCATATTTCCAGGTGACAATGAACAGAGGCTTTTCCTGTCTTCGCCAGAGAGCGGCGACAGGTGGGCCCAGCAGGATTGGCAGGTCCTGTATAGGTGCTTCAGTGCCTACTGCCAATGTAGCCAGGGGCAGCTGGGGGCCGAGCAGGGCCCAAAGTCAGCAGAGATGGCAATGCGAAGTCCCCAGGAAGGAGACAGAGATAGAAACTAGTAGGAGGTGGACAGCCATCCCAAATCAGGCTCACAGTATAGTCATGGTTCTGTCTTCTTGGTGTAAGAATCACTGCGGTTTCATCCCAGCTTAAAGAAGGGGGAACAGGAAATGAGTCGTGGGGCGGAGCCTCCAGCATGTCGGAGTACACTGTGGCTTCTTCTAGCCATCACCCCTCCTAACCTTTCTTCCTGAGGGGCCTCTGCTTCCCTGGAGTGTGAGGTGCCTGGCACGCCTTCATAAACTACTCACCATGCCTGCCACCGGTACAATTATGGTCAGCCAAAGCACAAAGGAGGCCTTTGTCCAGCCTGCTCTTACTCATAGTAGGGCAGCAGAGAGCAGACCTCTGCCTGGACCATCCTGCTGTGGCCTTCCCCTTGGGAACCCAGGGTAGACTGTGTGATGAGAGAGCCGGCCACAGAGATACCTCACAGGCCCCTGCCCACGTTGCTCTACAGAAGCGGTTTCCGTTAACTGGTTGTTACAAATCCCCATCCTCAGTGAAAAGTCTACCCAGGGTCAGGCCCTCGACTAACAGCTTTTCAAAACAGTATCCCTCCTGACAGCCAGGGGTATTCTCACTGATGTACAGACAAGGAAGCAGGCTGTCCACAGTCACAGCCCTCACCAAGCCCACTGGGCCTCAAGTTGCAGAGGATCTCTTGCTAGAGTCTAATGTTTCCGAACTTTCTCTGTTACACCCCCTCTCCCCCAGCTAGGCTGCTAGGTACAGATCTGGAGGGTTTGGAGGGGTCTGGTTGGAAGGGTAGGTCCAATGGGCGACCCCAGGGTGACTCCTCCCCAGTCTTCACAGTGGGCCCACCCCAGTAGTTCCTCATGATCTTGGAAGTTACCTAGGGGAGCCTTTCCCCCCAGCACACCTGTTGCTGATTGGCTGTTGGCTTTCCCTGTGTGTCCAGTGATCATCACAGCCTTTGACCTCACCGATGTGCAGACTCTGGAGCATACCAGGCAAGTAACCCCTCACGAAGCTACCTGGAAGGGTTCCCAAACCCCAGTCTCCAGGCTGTACCCAGAATGCCGGATACTTACTAGCCAGTTCCCCACTCATCTCTGAAGACGTATCCTCACTCACTGCTGGGGGGCTTAAGCTGACAGGCCGCAGTTGGCTTTCATATCCTATTGCCACCATATTGGAAATCTTAATTTTGCACAAGGGCCCCTCCGTTCCCTTTTACATTGGTCCCTGATAATTTTCTACCTAGTCCTCCCCGACAGAAATTTTTCACTCTGTGTATTGGGCAGAGTTGTGGGCAACATAACCAATTTCAGAGGGCCATCATCTGCCAGCAATAATCCACCTAATGGACCAAAGCCCCTCCTCCTTCTGTTTGCCTGGGCCATTCACATCAGAGTCCTCCAGGCCGTATAAACGAGACAGGAAAGGTTTTTCCAACGGATAACAACAGGAGTCACCTAGGTCTCACAATAAGAGTCTTATTGGATGTGTGCCTTCTCTCTGGGTGTCTTATTGAAACCTCTCCCAAACAGGTGCCTTAGTATTTCCAGCTCCTTCTGGTCCCACTGAGGGTCCCTGACTCCAGCACCAGCATCCCACTAGGTCAGCATAGGTCAGGGCACCTTTCCTGTTCCTCCTGGCTAAGCACAAGCCTCTTGTCTCCACTCTGTGCATTCCAGGCAGTGGCTGGAGGATGTCCTGAGGGAGAATGAGGCAGGCTCTTGCTTTATCTTCCTCGTGGGGACCAAGAAGGATCTCCTGGTAAGCAGAACGAAACTGGAGGCCCAACTCTGACTGGCTATCCAGAAAATTCCCATGTTTGCAGCCCACTTGAAGGGCACTGAATGATTCCCCTCATGCCTTGTGTTGGACTTTCAAGACTATGGGTTATGGGACTGAAGAGGGTTCTCCCCCAAGAGGCAGGGATTGCTCACTTCTCTGGGGGAGCATACAGTGTCAGCTCTGGGCAAGCAGCATCCCTGCCCTGGGATACCCCACCACAACCCACTTGCTTGGGGTGAAGTGAAAAGCAGGGGTAAGGAGAGGAGGCCACCCTAGGAACCCCCCTGCAAGGAGGGCTGTTTCTTCCAGTCAGGGGCAGCATGCGAGCAAGCCGAAGCAGAGGCTGTGCATCTGGCCAATGAGATGCAGGCAGAGTACTGGTCTGTGTCGGCCAAGACGGGTGAGTAGCGTACCCCACATGCATCTATTACCGAAAGGTTGCTGGGTGCGGGAGTACAAAAGGCAAAGCTGGAAATCCAAGCTCCAGGAGACCAAGTGAAAGGCACACAGAGCCTGGCACATGGGAGATTCCTACAAGGCTGTAGGAACTCGGAAATGGGGCCAGTAGTCCTCGCCTCAGGTGCAGAGACAGCGTGCATCCAGCCATGGGCTGGGTATGAATTGAAGCTAGAGGTGGCACCACCAGTCCACCACAAATAGCTGAAAGTGCCGGTGCCTGGAGCCCTCTGCTGTTCCTCCCCCACTGTCTACACTAGAGCACCCACCCCTCCTTGACCACAGGAACAGCAGGTTCACTGAGATCCCACGGTGGGGCAAGTAGGGTGCTGCTGCACACTTCCACAGATCAGTAGTTACACACGGGCAACGGTCGTGTTGGCTGCTGAGACCTGGGGGGGAGGGTATACACAGATTCCATGAAAGGGCCGACAGCATGTGGGTGGCACCCAGAGTCATACAAGGGTCAAGGAGCAACTGATCGAGAGGGCGGGTGCTAAGAAAGGAAGGCTCAGAGCTTTAAGGCAGTAGCCTGGGGTAAGGGTAGGGTAGCAGGGTAGGGGTGGGGGCCAGAACCCACTGGGAAGCCAGGTTGCCACCCAGAACTCTGTGGGCTGATTGGTCATGGGTGGACTCGTAGCTGTGACTACCAGGGGTTCTCTGGAAGCATGATGGCCGCCGGCCTTAGTCCATAATGCATCTGAGGGCAACTTGAGTCATAGCCATCTTGTGGGCCCCCAGGAGAGAACGTGAAGGCATTCTTCAGCCGTGTTGCCGCCCTAGCCTTTGAACAGTCTGTACTTCAGGACCTAGAGAAGAGGCCCAGCAGCCAGTCCCAGGTCGGAGATGGAGATGGAGACCTAATACGTGCGTACAGGGAGGGCTGGGTGGGGCTGAAGAGCAGGATAGGGACCAGAGGGCCACACCCACCATCCTTAATTTGCCACTTTTGCTGTCTTTGTGGGACCTTTGGGCTGTTTAGCCGTATCTTGGGCCTACAGCTTCTATGACCTTCACCTACCAACTCAGGCACCTGCCCCGGCCCCCCTTCTCTCCACACAGGCTCCTTTGGGGCCAGGCTTAAGTTCCTGTTCTTCAGATGTGCCTTGCCTCCAGCTTACCTGAATGCCACAATCCTGAGTGTCCCCTGGGTCTTTCCCACACCAGGTTATCTAGGCCTCAGAGGACAGGCCCAGGGGACCAAGCTGAGGGTTCCAGGTATCAGGGTGGAATAGTCCTTACCTAATGTCAGCTGTCGGATGCACGGTCGATGACATCTTTGTCTGTCTTTGCAGGAATAGAGGTACCCAAGACCCAGGAGAGCAAGAGGCCCCCTGGCCTGGGCTGCTGTTAACTGAGGCCAGAATCAGAGCCATCTACACCCGTTGTATGTACAGGGTGACATGGAGCCCAAGATCTACAGAGGATAGACCTTCAAGCTGGAGAAGCCCTGTCTCTTCAGAGCCCAGCCATTTCTCTTTAGCCAGTGGCTGATGAAGACCCATACTGCCCGGCTGGTTGATGGGCACCAGGGTGAGCCTTCTCTATAGGGTCTTCAGATGCTCACTGTCTTCTTAAAAGGCTTCAAGACTGCAAACTCGGGACACCTCAGGGCTAGCCCACATCCCTTACCCAATCATACCAATAGCTGCGGAGCCCTTTCCTACAGATCCTCAGGGATCTCTGAACCCTCATCAACATGTTCCAAACACCGGGACTTGCTGGAATAGGCGAGTGAAACTAACCTGCCACGCCACACAGAGCTCTCTCTCATCAAGAAGACATTGAGTCCTAGGCCTTCAGCCTCAGACCTAGCTCTCCCAGGACTCTGGGGCTCCATCCACTGTTAAACACAATGGACAAAGTCCATTTGGCCCCCTGGCAGAGTCCCGCCCCCATCTCTGAGATTCCCAATGGTTCTGCCCTGAGTATTAGTGGGTGAGAAGGTAGACCTTTGGCTCATCACTGTGACCATCCTGAGGGATGGCGATTGCATGGGTGACCTTTGGATCCTCACGAGAGGAGTCACTGTGACCATCCAGAGAGATGACAATGCATGGTGTCCCTCTGGCAACTCATTCCACATTCCCTGAGCCTGATACTGTCCTGTGTTTTCACCTATGCCCATCCCTGCTAGCCTACCATGTGTCTGTCCAACTGGCCTGTGTGTCTCATGGGACTTAGGCATTGGGCCACATATCTCTGGAGGACTTGGGACATCCAGAATCTAGCATGCCTAATCCCTTTCCGCACATCAGCAGGGACACCGCATCCTACATGAGTCCAGGGTTACCCCTGACCCGCCACCGTATTCCTATAGCTCTGGGTCCAGACCCACACACCCCTGTCTTTCTCCTGCCATAAGAGGGTGGGCACACTCAGCATTCTTAGCTGCTGTACCCCCAAGACAGGGTCTCCTGTAGTTCATGCCGGCTTCCAACTCTCTATGTAGCTGAGGCTTACGCTGGGTTTTATTTACCCTCCATTCCAAATACTGGAATTAGAGAAATGTACCACCATACCCAGCAGCGCCTACCTCTCAGGATGGTAAACATCTGTAGGCAGCCATGTTGGTCCATGCCCTTTTCTAAGTGCCTGGTATACCACACCTCTCCATGACTGTTCATTGACTCAGCAGTGGCCAACCGTCCGAGAGCACCGACCTATCTTCCTGTTCGATAGCAACGTTCCTTAGCCTTAGTTCAGTGAGCCTCTCCCTCCCCACTGGCCACCCCATTTGAAACAGTGTGTCACCATGCATACTAGGCTGGACTTGAGCTCGCACCAGCCCCCTGCCTCCATCTCCTAAGTGCCGGGGTTACAGACACAAAGCTCACACTTGGCTCCAGGCCTTTTATTCTAAAAAGTATATAAAACATCTCTTTAAAGGATTTAATGTTTGGTATTAAACAAGGTGGTGGTAGAGCATAAAAATGAAAATACTTCTGCCCTGAAGTTGGTGGTACTCTTTGAAGTGAACACGGTTAACAGTTGATAAAAATTCCTTTCCCAGCCCGCCCTGTGTGCAAACCCCCATGTTGGCTTGTTTCTCCAGAGTGTTCTTTGGTTTTTTTGGTTTTTGGTTTTGGTTTTGGTTTTTTTGGATATTTTATTTACATTTCCGATGTTATCCCCTTACTCCATTTCTCCCCGCCCAGGAACCCCCTATCCTAGACCCCTTCCTTCTGCTTCTATGAGGATGTGTCCTCACCCACCCCCCAACTCCCACCTCCCCACCCTCGAATTCCCCCACACTGGGGCGTCCAGACTTCATGGGACTGAGGATCTCCTCTCCCACCTATGCCTGACAAGGCCATCCTCCCCTACATATACAGCTGGAGTCATGGGTCCCTCCCTGTGTGCTCCCAGGCTGGTTCTATATGCTCCCAGGCTGGTTCTCCAGAGCGTCCTTGGACTGTGCACACTGATGGGCCACCTGCCCAGTCATCTGCCCTGGTCCCTCCCTGTGGACCATGCCAGGACTTCCCATACTTAGCAAAACATGCAGTTTCCTCAGTCCAGATAGGCCAAGGCTCATTTGCGTTTCTTATCTACTGGCCCAGCCAGTGTGTCTGCTGTTGTTAGCTTTCCCCTGTGGTGCTTTAGAATTTCCACAGAGGATCTTGGTGGGCTCTCCTCTGGACTGTAGCCCTTACCCTGCTCCACGAAGACACGGCCTCTTAGGGACAGGCTGCATTGTTGTTGCATTAGGGAGGGTTAGGGTTTAGTGGACATAGCATAATGCTTCATGGAGTGGAAGGAGATGGCAATGGTCGCCTGACACCTCTCTTCCTCCTAGGTCCTAGGTTGGGGACCGGAAGGGGATGATACTGTGTCCTCCTGTCATGAGCTCTGGATCTGGAAGAAACTCTGCTTTTCATACCCCCACATCCCTGTAGATCACCTGTTATTAAACTCTCCTTGTGTCACCCGTCATAGCGTGATAGCATGTGTCCCTACTCACAGTGACGGTCTCTCCAATCTCAGTATTTGGCCCAGGAGGATACATTCCAAGCTTACCAAGAAAAGTTGAGAGATTCAGGTGTTTCTCCATCAGCCAAAAGTGCTGTCTTAATATGTCTGTGTGATAAAACCCAGACATACCACAGGCTAAGTTGTAAGCAGTCAGTTGATTTATGATTCTGGCGATGTCAACGTCCAAGAGAAAGGGATTGACATCTGGCAAGATCTCTGTGCCATATCCTGACATAGTATACTGACCAGGGCGCAGAGAGGTAAAGAGGGGGACCAGGTTTGTTTTTGTAACAAACCCAGTCTTATGATAACAGTGTGTCCAAGAGCCCCACACACATCCCCCTGCCTCGGAACAACTATTGCACTTGGAATTGCCTTTCAATACAAATTTGAAGGAGACATTCAGGCCTCAGTAAGTAGGCTAGAGGTGTCGCTAGGTGGTACAGTGCTTGCTGACCACAGGTTCCATCTTCATCCCCGAAAAGCAAACCAGAGGGGCTGGAGAAATGGCCTAGTTGTTAAAAGCACTTACTGCTCTCGCAGAAGACCCAGGTTCAGTTCCCAGCACCCATGTGGTGGCTCACAACCACACATAACTCTAGTTCCAGGGAATCTGATTCCCTTCCTAATTCCTTGGGTTCCTGTACACTCAATTATATATTCATAAAAATAAATCTTTAGAAATGTTTGTAAAAAAAAAAAAAGACCTAGCAAATCCATCACTTCCATGTCCCCTCCCCCCCCCCCACCCCTGGCCATTGGTGTTAGAGACATTATTCTCAGACATTTTAGCATTTGCCTGTGGGTTTCTATCAAGGCCCTAGGCTGTCTGTGGGTCTGGGCCTGCAGGACTAGGTAAGCAGCTTCTAACAGCCAAGGTCTGGTGAGTGATCATGTTCAAGTACTTCAGAGGTGTGGACTTTCTTTTCCCAGAATCCCTCCCTGCTTCCTAGTCACTCCTTTGTTTGTCTCCTGCTGGAGACAACTATGTCCTGTCTGCCCTTTAACAGAGGAGCTAAAAAGCCCGGACACATCTGAGCCACTCCCCACTCTAACCCGTTTGGCTTTAGGTCTGGTCCCAGTAGAATCAGGGCCCGGGATCCAGTAGCCTTACCCTTCAGGCTGTTACGTGTTTGCTTCAGACAAGTATTTGGAGCAGACTCTCACCTAAAACCTAAAAATGCCCAAGACCCGAAAAGGGATTTATTTGCATGATCCCTCACCCACCCCTGCTTGGAGTACCCCACTAACCCTTACCCCAGCATAGCCTGTTCCTTGTGTCAGCATGGTGCTGGACAATCCTCTCCTAGTCATGCAGAAGTAGTGAGTCAAACTCCACAGTGACTGGACCAGGTACTTCATGCTCAGCCACTTGTTTTCTGGTTGCTTGCTTCTACCTTCCTGGTTCTGTTATGAGCCGCGGTGGACCAGAGGGGGTTTTATTTTCCTTGAAGAATCCAGGATGTCTTAAGCCAGCATTGTGGTCGACTAGGATCTAGGTAGCTGAACAGAGAGGTAGACAGGATTGGTTACATCTCTCCCCCTCCTCCCCTCTCCCTTCCCCTTCTCCCCTTCCTTCAACCTCCTCCCACTCCATGCTCTGTGTGTGTGTGTGTGTGTGTGTGTGTGTGTGTGTGTGTGTGTGTGTAAAAGGCAGACTGATCCATTATGTGATCTAGGTCAGCTTCAAACTAAAAACACGTCCCGTCTCTGCCTCCCACGTGCTGGGATTAGGGTATGGAGCATCACTAATGATTTCAGGAGTTTCTACAGCCTGCTTCCAGAATTCTTTCAGTTTTTTTTTTAAACCTTCTAAAAATTGAGGATTTCCTTTTTTTTTTTCTTTTTTTTTTCTTGGATGTTTTATTTACATTTCATATGTTATCCCCATCCCCCACTCCCGCCCAGGAATCCCCTATCCCATCACCCCTCCTCCTGCTTCTCTTCGGATGTGCCCCTATCTACCCCCCCACTCCCACCTCCCCACCCTCAAATTCCCACCCACTGGGGCGTCCAGCTTTCATGAGACCAAGGATCTCTTCTCCCACCTATGCCCGATAGGGCCATCCTCCCTTACATATACAGATCCCTCCCTAAGTGCTCCCAGGTTGGTGGTTTAGACCCTGGGAGCTCTGGTTGGTTGGTATTGTTGCTCTCCTCATGGGGCCACAAACCCTTTCAGCTCCTACAGTCTTCTCTCTAACTCCTCCATTGGGAACACCATGATCAGTTCATTTCTTTCAGTTATTAATCCCCAAATCCACACCACACTCACTGAGTAGTAAGGCCCCACAAAAACTGTAGGCTGGGGACAAGAAACAGGCCCTGTCCACCCATAAGTTCAAGGCCCCGTGAGACTGTGGCATGTTGAAAAAGAATTCTAGGTCAAGAGTGGACCATAAAGAGAATATAGCAACAGGGGGGCATGACAGTTGGGGCTGAGACTTTTCAGAAGAATTACCCAACTTAGAGGGAGCCTCTCCTCTTCGGAACAGGAAGTGAATCTGGATGGGCCCTGGGCCTGGCTTCAGATGCAGCCCTGAGACAGGCCCCTCCAGAGGCCCCTGGGGCTCCTCTGCCATCTGCTGTGGCCTCACGACTCACTTCCCATATGTCAGGCTTTCCCCTGAGAGGAGCTGATGGGCAGGCAGAAAGTACAGCCCTCATACTGCCTCCTCCATCCAGGCACGGTGCATGGCCTTTGTTCCCTCCCTGGAGTCCAATGCATCAATGGCCTTCAGAGCCACCAGCTACCTGAGTCTATGCCCCAGATGGATGCGGCTTCCTGGGCTGTTGTGGGCTAGCTTTTTACTCAGCCTGCCTACCCCTGCCCTCCTGGAACACATAAGAAGGGGTTAGATATCTGGAAAGCAAAGCAGACCTAGGGCTTCTCACCTTACCAGGAGAGGCATCTCCGATCTATAGGTATTCTGGGCCTGTGATGACCTAGACCACTTTGCTGGGATTCCTTCACTAACAGGTTCATTGAACCCTGCCCCTCCTCTCCTGGTAAAGGCTGCAGACACCAGAAGGGTTATACCAGCATGGCTTCAGAAGCTTCATGAATAATTGATCCTGCAAGAGGTGGGTGCGGCTGCTTCGAATAAGAATCCTGCGCATGCGCAGTCATCTGGAACCCGGGCCAGCAGCTTCCAGAGAAGACCCGCTGCCTACTTGGCGAGGCTGCCCTACCGAGATCCCTGCGGCCTACTATAGGCCAGGGATTTGTACGCTCGCAGGAGGTCTACCAGCCATGCACTGTTCAGCACAGCATGAGCAAACAGCCAGAGCTAGAGAATTGATACTGTTGCTTCTATCTCCCTGAAGATAGAAGATCACATGACGGATAACAGATGGGTAACACAGCCACATGCCACTTAAAAGACAGAGAGCCTTCTCCGGCCTCCAGCAGGGTTTGGAGATAGGGAAGATGATTGGGTAGAGTAGGAACAAAAAAAAAAGTTTTCTTTTTTTCTTCACTGTATCCAAAGTTCACTCGAGGGCAGTAGTTCCCGCCCTTTCTAATGCTGCGACCCTTGAATACAGTTCCTCATGCTGTGGTGATCTCCCAACCATAAAAGTATTTTCATTGCTACGCCGTACCTGTGATTGTGCTGCCGTTATGAATCGTAATGTATAACATTGGATACGCAGGATGTATTTTCATGGTTACAAATGGACTCACAGGGGTCCCAGCCCACAGGTTGAGAACCACCGCTCTAGGGCCTTGACTATGCTAGTAAGCCCTCGACCACTGAACTCAGTCTGCCCGTCTGCCTGGGTTTAATTCCCAGCACGAAATAAACCAAGCATGGTGATGCATACCTATGTAGAACCATAGACGAGCAGTGGGTACCTGAAGCCTCACATAGGTTTATCTGCCTGTCCTTGCAGTCAGATCCCCATGACTGATCTT